GTCTCTCTGTCTCTCTCTCTCTCTCTCTCTCTCTCTCTCTCTCTCTCTCTCTCACACACACACACACACACACACACACACACACAAACATATACACACACCCCAATGTAGGTATCATGTAGGCCTTGCTGGTCTAGAACTCACTATATGGATCACACTGGCCTGGAACTCTGAGATCTGCCTGCTTCTACCTCCCTAGTGCTGGAATTAAAGGTATGCACCACCATGGACTCATGCCAATATTCTTAATGGTCTCAAAAATAGAGGATTTGGAAGCCAGACATGGTGGTGTAGACCTCAAATGTCAGTTGAGAGGAGCAGAAGCAGGTGGATCTTCGTGTGCTCAAGACCAGTGTGGTCTGCATATCAGGTCCCAGGCTATCCAGAGCTACATAGTGAGACCCCGTCACCAAACAAAACACAAACAGGATTTACATTAAGAGAAAAAGGCTGACTACAATCCTCTCTGAACTGATGCCAAGTGATTGTCAAGGCCTCTAATGCTCTCATTATACAGGGAAGTACTCTGTTACAGAGCTGCATGGCCAGGCCCGGAGTCAAGCATCCATTTTAAAATTTTAGCTTTGAGTGTTTCCCCTGCATTTATGTGTACCACGTGTGTGCAGAAGTCAAAAGAGGGGGGTCTAGCATTATTGATGGTTGTGAGCCATTAATGACCCAGCTATTGTGGGTGTTAGGAATTGAACCCAGGTCCTCTGCAAGAGCAATAGGTATTCTTAACCCTGAGCCATTTCTTCAGCCCAAGTATCCGGTTTTAAAGGAACACTTGCAACTGCTTCATCTAGGCCTGGTACAATACATGGTTTCAGTAAACTGGAACCTTTGCCTTCAGAAGAAAGATGAACCTAGCAGATGAGTCTAAACACGGTTTAGTACAAAAGATAGAATTGGTGAGCAAATCTAGCACACAATCACAACTTTCAAGGATAATCCTCTAACAATACATTTATGGTTGTTAATACAATGGTTTCATTTTTTTTTTTTAGGGTTTCTTTTTTTCTTTTTTTTTTTCTGACAAAAGCTGGAAGTTCAGAATAAGCTGCCCAAGTGTGTTCCTTTGGCAACCACAGCTCGGAATGGGGAAGATTCATCCTCTTGTAGAGTGTGAATATTAAGGAGGAGACAAAGAAGGCAGAAAATTGTCTCTGCTGTTGAGATTTTGTAATATAGAAAACCGAGAGAACTAACTGTATACACAATGTCCCCAGTTCCATGTTGTAACAGTGAAATGAACTGGTGAAATTGAAAAATTGGCAAGTGTAGCAAGTGTACAACAAATATGTGAGAATTTATAATAGCAAGAACTAGGACAATGCAAATGACCTGTTCTCTGGATCTGAAAAACTTAATGTTAGTAAGGTTGGAGGGGACAATCAGGGATTTGAGGGCGTGCAGTCTGAAACATGGACAAGACTGCTATTCCCCAAATCTGAACTAGACGGTCCAAATTTGCTAATTATTAGGGAACCAACTAAGGATTTTGAGCAAGGGAAAAAGCTGTCGTTTTAAGAAGAAATTACCAACAGAAAGACTCTCCTTTCCTGTGTGAGACAGTAAGAGGTTAAATGTTGACAAATGAGCGGCTGTCACGGGTGTGAGGAGAAAGACCGCCATTGTCCATCCGTGAAGCCGACATGTAATCGGAACCAGGGGCGACTAGGAGCTCATGGAAGATGGGCTTCTCTGACACACAATGAACCACTCGTATTGGAATTTTATAGGGAGGGTGGTTTGGACTGTTCTTGCACTTATTACTGCAAACATAAACTGAATACGGCGTATGTAGCTTTTTTTTTTGTTTTAAAGGTACTAATTTACTTTATTTAAAAGGATGTTTCACCATTTACTAGAGTTCCATTAATGTATACACACATTTTTATGATATATACTCACGTGCGTGCACACACACACACACACACGTATATACTGAGATGAAACAAAAGGGCCTTTCATCGTTTAAATACATGCGTGGGTAAAATACCAGAATCTTCACTGGCAAGATTTTGGCTTAGCGGTAAAGGTTGGAGAGCAGGGCTGAGCGTCGCATTTTTAGGCGTTTCGAGCAGACTACAGAAGACCTACTTAAATTGTCTTTGGCTGGAAGATCTCAAAGTGTCTAATCCTGGCAAGGGGAGGAAGGGAGCAAAGAGACGGAGGAAGATGGCTCCGAGAGCACAACCTGAGCCTCAACACCGCACTCAGCAGGACATGGGGGAGGGAGGGTGGAGAGGGTGGGAAGATGAGAAGAGATTCTGCTGCTGACGCCCCCCCACCCCCAACCGCGCAGTCCATGCCAAATGTCTCCGGAAGCAATCTACTAAACTACGTTCTCTGTGGCCAAAATTAAACCAGACCAATTTCTTTATTAATGTATTATAAACAAGGCGTGTATTACCTCAGAGTCACAATGTCCAGCACCTACCCCCGCCCCATCCTAATGCACATCAAGTGAATGACAGATCCCAATCACATCAGGTAGCACGCTCCTTTTTTGAGATTGGAAGGTGGCTCTGAAAAGAGCCTTTGGGTTGGTGGCGCCCGCGCCGCGCCTCACTTGGAGCTGGTGTATTTGGTGACAGCCTTGGTGCCCTCGGACACGGCGTGCTTGGCCAGCTCCCCGGGCAGCAGCAGACGCACGGCCGTCTGCACCTCGCGGGACGTGATGGTCGAGCGCTTGTTGTAGTGCGCCAGGCGGGAGGCCTCGCTGGCGATGCGCTCGAAAATGTCGTTGACGAAAGAGTTCATGATGCCCATGGCCTTGGAGGAGATGCCGGTGTCGGGGTGCACCTGCTTCAGCACCTTGTACACATAGATGGAGTAGCTCTCCTTGCGGCCCCGTTTGCGTTTTTTGCCGTCTTTCTTCTGCGCTTTGGTAATGGCTTTCTTGGACCCCTTCTTGGGGGCTGGAGTGGAGCGGGAAGGCTCCGGCATCCTGCTGCACTGGCTGCACCAAGACGAACGCAGAGACGGTGAAGGCAAGGTTATTTGTCATCCTCATATTTAAATGAAGGCTCCAAAGTAGTATCATCTGATTGGACAACCATAAAATGTTGTAACTAGGAGACACCGGTTCTTCTTTCCTATTGGACGGTATCGCAACCAATCCGAAAGTGCGTTGGCTGAGCCGGCTCAGGTGTCTCATCTTTGTCTGAACCCTTTGTTATAACTGGGATGATTTAGCATCTCTGGCAGTTGTGGACGTGGCTGAAGGGACAGTACTGCCGGATCCGACTCTCGTTGAACCAAATCGCCGGCCATTTGTTTCTCATCCACAGCTAACGAGGAAGAAGCTTGTTGCCTGCTTAGTTGGAGGAAATGACAGCTTTCAACTGCCATTTATTTCATATCATAGCCTCTCTTCAGGGGAAACAAAAGCAAAGACATTCCTATGAGAATTCATGAGCGAATTTCAACAGTTCATTGGGAAATCTGAAAACATACTAAGGCAGTTTCACTGGGAGTGTGTGGCCAGGTAGATATTTATCTGGGGAAAGGGATTCTTGGGATGTCCATAATGCCCGGAACTGGAGCTAAGGCTGACGTAACGTTACGGATGGGTACCATATTTACAGGACATAGCAGGTTACAGAAGTTATGCCTCGCATAACAATTTGTGCGCGCGTATACACACACACACACACACACACACACACACACACACACACACACACACACACACACGGTGCTGAGTGAAAATAAAAAGGCTGTATGTTCACATCGCTCCCATTTCAGCCTCACTTGGAGAGCTGGCTTTAAACACACTTGAGTTATGATCTGCATATCACAGTTGAGGAATCCTGGTCTGAAGGTGGATATGGATATGGATAGCTACCATACCTGGGGCATGTAATCTACTTTCTTCGCCCCTCCGTTCCTTCATGTGATAGTATAATGCCTGTTAGATGCTGTGAGCTCATATGGGTGAACAGGCTGGCAAGGTGCCCTGCACACACTAGTGCATAATTCCTATGAGCTCTTCACAGCAACACACAGCATTTCTATCTCCCACCAAAATACAGAGTGAACTGTAATCCCCCACGAAGAGATGTGGCTGTTTCTGCAGTGTCTACAGGGCAAAAGACAATATGGCAGCCAGCAGATGCCCACCCAACGCTTGGTGAATAAACCAACCTGGAAACCTATTCACTCCAGCTGCTGAGGCCTTGTGTGTTTTCATATTGGGAGACTTCAGGGGAAGGGAACCAGAGTCTTAGTTATCAGCATGAGAAAATGCTTTCAAAACAATTTTGTAAAAAAAAAAAAAATCACTTAGAGTCTAGCAGTGGCGCACGCCTTTAATCTTAGTACTCAGGCAGCAGAGGCGGGTGGATCTTTGAGTTTGATGCCAGCCTGGTCTACAGAGCGAGTTCCAGGACAGCCAGGGCTACACACAGAAGTCCTGTCCTGAAAGACAAAAACAAACAAAAATCACTTAGGAAAAAAAGAAAACATTTTGGGTGTCAACCCTCCTATACACACAATGTGAATAAACCTTGGGTTAAAATTACCTGCAACTACCAAGAGTCAAAAGGTTAATATTAGAATTATCTGTATAATTTAGAGAACATTTACAAATTGTTTAAGAACAGGAATAGGAAAGCAAATCTTAAAACAAAAAAACTACTGCTGTTGATATATCATATTAATTGCAAACAGATGCTTGTTAAAACAATGGCAAATGTTTCACCTACTAAGATGGGGGGGGGGCGGCGCTCCATAGCTCAAGCAAAAACACTGCCCTGCCCTGAAGGAGGAAAGCTGGCAATATATGCCAAGATATTCTACAATGTGCAGAAACCCCACTGTCAATGTAGTCTCCCAAAGTAACAACCATGTTTGCAAGCAAACATAGGCATTCACTTCCAAAAATAGCATGTGTAAAAAAAAAAAAATGTAGAAGTGATGAGGCCCCACCACATCATGGCTGGCTTTTACAATGGAGTTTGTTATCCTTGAGACAAGGTCTCATGTACCTCATCCAGCCTTGAGTTCCAGATGCTCTTGCTTCCATCTCCAGCGGGTTAAGATAACAGCTGCCACATCTGGCTCATTAATTTTTAAGGCTATTTAATGACAAGTGAAGACAATATTAAACGAAACTTACAAGTACAACTGCATGCAGGGCTCCTCCCGGTGACGTCAACATCTTAGTCACTTTCAGTCCATGTTGGCAGTGTGCTCCTGGGTGTCTACACAGTGTGCAGAATGAACAACAGCCTGTCTCTCTCCCTCACTCCAAGGCCACATTGCAGTGGCCTATGACTCACCTATGGTGGGTGATCCTGAAGGAAGACTTCCTGTTTTGTGGATCATTTACTGTTGTTATAAAAACATACCCAGTGGATCTGGTATTGTATAAAGCATAAAAGTTGTCAGAGTAAAAATAACTCCTGTCAATCTTAACAGACTGGAGGGAGCCGTGGAGGGGCAAAGCCGAGAGGTTGTGAGGGAAAGGCTATTTACTCACAAATGACATCGTATTCCATTACAAGACTCTGGAGCCAGGCGCTTTTGCAGAACCCTCTAAGGGACTGAGGGCCATCGGATAGTTAGATACAGTCTGAGTTTAATATTAATATGCCTCAGGCACGCGCGCGCGCACACACACATCAATTACTTCTACATGAAGATCTTCCCATCAAGTGCCTGTTCAATCTCAGACTGGTGCCACTTTTGCTATTGGTAATTTTGGCCAAAGATTATTGTTTAAAAATATCTTGCACATTCCTTCTCATTTGTGGCTTTTGTTTGTTTGTTTGTCTTGTTTTGTTTTTGTCTTTTTGAGACAGGGTTTCTCTGTGTAACAGCTCTGACTGTCCTGGAACTCATGCTGGCCTCAAACTCACAGAGATCTGTCTGCCTCTGCCTCCTGAGTGCTGGGATTAAAGGTGTACACCACCATGCTCAGTTCCTCATTTGTGTCTTAAAAAACAAAACAAAATAAAACAACAAACAAACAAACAAAACATCCCCTTCCCTTGCTCCAGCCCCTCGGAATATGTGCCATACATGATCACTTTGGCACACACGCTTCCATTACAGCACTTGGCTTTCCCATGGCAGCATTCTGTTACTGATAATGCAACATCAGTGGTCTGGAGAACCTCTCCAGTTGCTTAGATTGGCAAAACCAACAGATTTTACATTACAGATAAAACATTGGCAAGCTGGAGGGTTGTGCTTGGAAGAAGGAAAGGAGGAGAGAAAGGGAGGGCAGGTACTGGAAAGGAAGGGAGGAAGAAGAACCAGGGAGAAAGAAGTGGAAGAGAGAACGAGAGAGAGAGAGAGAGAGAGAGAGAGAGAGAGAGAGAGAGAGAGAGAGAGAGAAAGGAGGGCCACTAGAGTTAGCTCAGTGGTTAAGTGTCAAGCCTTGAGTCCAATGCTGGGGTCCACACAGTGGAAGTGGGGAAGGAGTCCAGCACCTTGTCCTCTGACCTCAGGATGTGAATTGAAATGTAATTTTGAAAATGAAGAGCAGACAATGAAAAAGAGAGTCTGTCTGGGAAGCGATGGCTTCGGTAGCAGCCACTAAAGGCTGCATCCCTTCCTGATTCTCTTGCCCATCTCCTGTTCGGCTCCCTTCCCTCACCCCACCCCCAGCAGTCCCGTGGGTACACTTTAAACGCGGGTGGTAAAAGGTTTCATTTTTGTCTGCACCTCCTTTCCCTGTCTTCACTGGTTCTAAAGCACGAGCCTGGCCCTGGAGGCCATCAGTCCACATGTGGAAAGGACGTCTTTGGCATTCATAAGCACATTGACATCCTGGATTTGGGTGCCGCTGTGGATGACAAGCACACATCCTTCTCTTCTACCCCAGCTCTCACCCCAGCAACAAAACTGGGTTCTTTCAAAATTCCCACAATTAATACAAGTGATACACTATTATGGCCAATGTGACATACATTAGGGGAAGGGGGTCCCCCAAAGAGGCTGATAATTGGAGGAGCAGTAGCACTGGACATCTAGACTCCTTTTACTCAGGGGAAAAAAGGGGGTCTGCAGAATACAGAGGACAGGTTTTCAGGCTTTCCTGCCCGGTTGAACCTTTGAGTTCGGAGCTCCAGGAAGTAGGTGCAGGCTCTGGGGTTTGTAGCGAGCTTGAAGTAGGAACGGGGTTTAGGCATCTTTTGTCCTCTGCAGTTTCCAGCCGGCATCCTTTGGACAAAGGCCTTCCTTCCCACCAGGACCCTGACTCCAGGACCTCTCTGTGGCGGCAGCAGCTGGGGCACTGGAGAGTCCTTCAGTTAAGGACGGTGTTTTCTCCGATTGGGCATCCAAGGGGCTCAGCTGACCGCACCGAGGCATGGGGTTGTGAGGAGGTAAGCTGGCCTGTTCCTCTCGCCAGTGTTTGCCGAAGGGTCTTCTGTGGCCAGTTCTCCACAGCCGCTCTAATGATCGATGGTGAGAGCTATTGAGGCAAATCTTCGCAACCAATATAAGTCCGAGAAAAGCCGGGCTACCATCCCCAGCTCTGAGAGCCGCACATACCCTAAATTTGGTGCCTTTGTGCACCTGTCTACCTGCCCCAGCCGCGGGGCTCTGGCGAAATTTTCTTCCTTGCGAGTGACCACTTCCTTCTTAATTCCCTTAAGTAATTTCCTGCTTCTCCCCCTAAGCACAGTAGTTAAACGTCTTAGGGACTGCTGGGAGTGAACCAGCGGCTTCCGAGCAGTATGTAGAGAAGATATGACTGCGTACTCTCCCCGACTCGGAATTTATGAGAGTATGTATTTTCTCAAAAGAGGCGGCGTTCGCGCAAAAAGAAGGGTCGGGAGGAGGGGCAGAGGAGTCACGGTGGCCCATTAGGACTGCTGGGGGTGGGGGATGGGGAAAGGCAGCTGGACCCGGAGATGAGCGAGAGAATCAGGAAGGGATGCAGCCATAAGCAAGCTGCAGGTCACACCCCGACCTTCCCCAGGAAACACCAGAGCCTGCCCTGCCCCCGGTTCCCTACTCCCCTGACTCCCAACCAGAGCACACATATCTAAGGAAATCATTGTGGTGTCCAAGAACAAGGGAGAAAATATGGAGGTACAAACGCTCGTGAAAGAACAAATTCCTCACCAGGAGGGGAGGAGGTAAGCTGGCCTGTTCGGATGGGATAAAGGACCGCGTAGGCAAGCCTTCGGAGCGGGAGCAGCAGGCAATGCAGCTCTCGGCTTGTGCGGCTGGTGTCGGTAGGAGGGTGCATTGACCGCAGCACACTGAAATCACCCCAGGCCTCTGGACTGGATTAACCCACTCTTGGACCGATGGATTTGTGGGTTACCGCTGGGGTGTTTTTGTTACAGCTGGCTCTGTCTCACCCTATGATGCTCTGAGAACACCTTTATTCTGCAGAGTCCCCACAGCAAGGAGGCTGTCACCAGATGCAGCTCCTCAGCTTTGGATTTCCCAGCTTTAGGAACCCAGATAAGTGTTTCTCTATAAATGATGCAGCCCATGGTATTCGGTCACCGCTGCAGATTAACAACCGACAATCCCCCTCCTGCCCCGGAAGCCTCCATATTTCCCTGTCAGTCTCTTTGCACTGGTAGTGTGTTGGGATTTCTCAGTCACTTCTCTCCACCGGCTAAGAAGTCCCCCCCCCCCCCCCCCCGCTGTGCACAAGGCACCAAGTACTCCACCCACGTCCTAATCCTGCAGCCAAGGATTTGTTACTCTTCGATTGGGCTTTGTCTCCTTATCTTAAACGATAATTTTATTTTTTTTTTAATTCAAGTATGGTGGCGCCAACAGAGCAGGAGACCGACGACGACGACGACGACGACGACGACGACACTGTGAAGGCTGTCAGAAGCAAAAATAGAGCCACTCTTTGTTATAGTGAAGGGATCTCCTCTAGGCCTGACGTGCCATCCTGCCGGTCATCATAGAGCAGAGATGTGTGAAGACCCGAAGAATGAATGACATCTAGGTTTATGGTAATGGTAGTGGGGCTGTTAATATTCACTCACAGGAAAAGGAGATAATTGCATCCCTGTTTTTTATCCTGGGGGTCTTGGGGGTTCCTATTGGAGCATATAGGGAGTGGAAGGCTGGCTGGAGGTGGGAATTCCCATGATGCAGCTTTCCCGAGTTATCATCCATGCTGAGGTGGAACTTCTTGATAATATAATTGTTGATTCACCCATGATCCTATAAGTAACCCCTTCCCAAGTCCTGTCAGTAATTCCAATAAACTTACTTGGCTCACCAATTTGAACTTGGTGGAATTGTTTCTTTTATATAACAGTGTCTTAACTGGGGCAAATAGACATTTCTTCCCATCTTCCCCGGGAAGTCAGCCAATGCCTTTGTCCAGCCCTAACCAAAAGTTATAATTGTGAAGCAGGTGTGCCCAATGAGGCTCTATCAGGAGTACAGCCCTGTACAGAGGGTACTGCCGCCATTCACAGAGAATACTACAGGGGTTACTGCGCACAACTGTCCTCATGGCCCAAGAATTTTGTTTTGGAATATCTGATGTGATCTTCCTCTTCTCTTTTTTCAAAACTTACTTGCCCTAGTCCCCTTGTTTACAATGACATGTGTTACCTTCGTGATACTCTGCTCTTTCCAAATATTATTCTTTTGTTTTTTTTGAGACAGCGTTTCTCTGTGTAGCTTTGCGCCTTTCCTAGAACTCACTTGGTAGCCCAGGCTGGCCTCAACACACAGAGATCCGCCTGGCTCTGCCTACCAAATGCTGGATTAAAGGCGTGCACCACCACCACCCGGCTCTATCCCTTCACTAAAGTGTCCTGTTAATCATTAACATCAGGGCTCTATATCTAGCCTCTTGGTAGTTAATCTCTCATTTACTTCAGAACCCTATAGTCCATTCATTTTCAGTTTCATATCATTCATCTATCCAGAGCTCTATAAACAAAACCCCAGTTTGCTTCAGTCAGTTTGAGGGAATTGTTTCAGAAAGATAGAGAGTAATTCAAACACATTATTATTATTAATATTATGTTTGTTATTGTTGTTGTTGTTGGTTTATATTTGTAAACATCACAGGTATAGTTAGATTTTAGGATTCAGATGAATTTTAAACATCTGAAACATTTGTTTTTACATCTAACATATTGAAAAGGTAGTAGTTATTAAGTAACTGGTTTGAAGCAATTTTCTTTGAAGCAGCATTGTATTTTATTAACAGGTTTGGGGCTGGAGAGATGGCTCAGCACTTGAGCTACTCTCGCAGAGGATCAGTGCTGGATTTTCAGCACCCGTGTTGAATGGCACACAGCCTCCTGCAGCTCTGATTCCATAGCCTTCAATGTCCTTCTCGACCTCCACAGGTACCCACAGACATGTATAGACATACACACACATACATACATACATACATACATACATACATACACACACACATAAATATAAACACAATCTTCTTTAAAGAAAAGGTTTTAGGATAGGCTTAAGCACAGGCATCCAGAGAGGAGAGAGGATGCTGAAGAGATGGCTCAGTGGTTAAGAGCACTTGAATTTGCTGCAGGGGACCTGAGGTCAGTTCTCAGCATTCACATGGCTGCTCACATCTGTCTGTAAGTCTAGTTCTGAAGTCCTCTTCTGGCCTTTTTGGGCACTATGTACTCACGTGGTGTGCATGCATCTGGCAGGCAAAATATTCAAACTACATACAATAAAAGTAAGTATTTTAAAATTTAAACAGTTTAAAAAGGGAGAGAGGCTTAAGTAAAGGACAGTAACCTACACCCTCGAGTGAGTGTGGGCTTCTCAAGTGAGTTGCTGCAATTTTAAAGTCAAAAGGATAAACTATTTTTTAATGTTTATCCCTAGAATCAAATCCAAAAGGCAGCTCATAGGCTGGGGGTGTATTTAAATGGTGGACAGCTGGCCCTGGTGTACGCAAGGCCTTCATTTGATCCCCAGAACTGAAGATTCGGAAAGGACAACTGATCTTCAGGCTTAACCCTCCGCTTTGCTGTATACTTTTCCCCGTGTAACATGCATGGCATCGGAAGAGTGCTCTTCCAGCCACACCTTGGCCATGCCTGTGTGCCAGCCTGGGTTTCCAGGATGCCACATGTAGGCAGTGTCCAGGACGCCTATGTGCTGTCCCAACTTTCAGGTTACAGTGTAGCTCTTCCCACATCTCCTTCCGCATTGCTTTCCATTGCTGCCATGTTTTTGTTGTTTTTGCTTGGTTTCGTTTTTTTTCTTTTCTTTTTAAAGAGATTTATTTATTTATTATGTATATAACATCCTGCCTTCATGTATGCCTGGGGAGAGGGCACCAGATCTCATTACAGATAGTTGTGAGCCACCATGTGGTTGCTGGGAATTGAACTCAGGACCTCTGGAAGAACAGCCAGTGCTCTTAACCTCTGAACCATCTCTCCAGCCCTGGTTTTTCTTTTTAAGCCAGGGTTTTGCTATGTAGCTCAAATTGGCCTTGAACTCACAATTTTCTTGCCTTCATTTCCCAAGTGCCGGGATTATAGATAGGCAAAGTCATTGTCTAGGATGCATAAGGCCCCGAGTTTAAGGATCAGACCTCAGTAACAACTTGAGAACCATGTTGGATATGGCCATGGTCAATTAGATGAATATAGATGTGCTCTAATACAACTAATTTTTAAATTTTATCTTATAAAATTTATTATTATTAATTAGTGTGTGTGTGTGTGTGTGTGTGTGTGTGTGTGTGTGTATGAGATGTGTGTGGGCATCCATGCCATAGTGCTTGTGTGAGGGTCAGAGGACTGCATTGTGGAGTTAATTTTTTCCTTCCACCTTTACCTGGGTTCCAGAGATCAACCTCAGGTCTCCAGGCTTGCACAGCAAGAACTTTTACCCACTGAGCCATCTTGCTGATCCCCAATTAGATTTTTTAATTTGAAGAAAAAAAATTCAAATTTATATATATGCATACATGTCATATCTGTTGAAGAGGTTGGCTTTAAACCTACAGGGATAACAACATTTAAGGACACCCAAATCCCTCAGACAAAAATCTCTGTTTCACACACACACACACACACACACACACACACACACACACACACACACACACAGAGTTTTGGTCTCATTATGTAGCTCTGGCTGGCCTGGAACTTACTGTGTAGATAAAATTGGCCTGAAACTCACAGAGCTCTGCCTGCCATGACTCCTGAGTGCTGTGATTAAAAGCATGTACCACTATAGTCAGCTAAAACATTATAATATTTACATGGATACTTCTATTTAATTTAATTTTTTTCTAGATGACATGATACTAAATAGGATATGATTACTGTGTGAATATTTGTTCTATTGTTTAGGAAATGAACAGGACTGTATAGATTTAGTACAGATATGGCTGCATAGTAGTGTTTAGTACACACAAATGGCAACATCACATTTACAATATATTTTCAATCTCAATCTGAAGAAGACTCCTAAGTTGTGGATAACTGACTACACCTGCTTATATAATATTCTTTGGAGTGCATTCCTGCAAAACTCACTGCTGTTCTGTGTGAGCATTGAGCATTGTTGGATTACATAAATTCCATGTACATGCTGTGATGGCTGTTCTTGGTTGTCGATTTGACTACATCTGGAATTAACTAAAACACAAGGGGGCTGGGTACACCTATGAGGGATTTTTTTTCTTGACTGAATCATTTGAGCTGGGAAAACCACCCTAAATCCAGATCTTTTGAGGTGAGAAGATCCACCTTAAATCTGGCCCACATCTTCTGCGGGCAGCCTATATAAAGACCACAGAAGAAGGAAGCGCTTGCTCTTTGCCTGCTCGTTCTCACTCTTACTGCTAAGTTCATTTCTTTAGTGGTATTAGAACTTACTTGTTCAGGATTCTGGCATATACTAAAGACCAGCTGAGGCATCCAACCTGGTGGACTGAACAGTTACTAGATTCTTGGACTTTCCATCAGGAGACAGCCATTGTTGGACTAGTTGGACCATAACCTGTAAGCTGCACTAATAAATCCTCTCTCTCTCCTCTCTCTCTCTCTCTCTCTCTCTCTCTCTCTCTCTCTCTCTCTCTCTCT